TTCGTATTCGAATCCGAAAAATCGAATATGCACAATCAACTACTGAAACAGATCCAGGATGGTGTAAAGCTCAAGAGTGTAAGGACGAACGACCGTTCTAAGCCGATACTGGAAGGACTGGGGAAGTTTCGACGACAAATGACCATCGAGGAGCAGATTCAAAAAACCGAGAAAACGCCCGTAGACGATGCTATTCAGGACAAGATGGATGACATCGATGCCGTTAGGGATGATTTGCAAAGCACTAAGCAGATGCTCGCAATGGAACTTAGGAATAAAGAAGTCTTGGAACGAGACAATAAGCGATTGCAGGTAATAAGACTTAAAAGGCATTGACATTTGATATTTTGGAAAAAGTTTTCAATAACATATGTAAGTTTACTCTGCCCAATTCTATTTAAAACACTTTATAATCTTATTCAAACAAGGCAAACCAGCGACTTGCTGAAATGAGGAAAAATTAGAGGGTTAAAAAAAATAGCTAAGGATTTTAATAGAAATAAATATAGCTTAAGATAAAGATAATTTCTTACCGAGCTAATATGTGCAGGCAAGAATTTTGAATCTTGAGGCAGAAGTGGAACATATGAAGCTACAAAAGAATGCACAGGAAAACAAGCAACAGGATGAGAAACTCACGGAATCCTTGAGACAGGAAGTGCAACAAGCGAGAAAGGACGCAGAAAAAGCGGAGAAAGGTTTCGCCACCGCCGCCGAGGAAAGAGACAAGGCTAGAAACGTGTTGGAAGAAATGAGAAGAATGTATGCGACGCTAGAAAAACGTATGAAGGCTGGTGCGTAATTAAAAGTGTAGCTTTACTTAAAGTTAGCTGAGCTATATTAATCGTGTTGTCCTGCAATCTCTCCCTAATTACCCTTGAATTTAATCGCTTTTTAAACAAAACGTTATTATCAATTCCATGATGCGAATCTCATATCTATTTCTTATGCTTTATATCAACGCTTATATTAATCACGCTTTTTCGCTTCGCTTTTCCTTGCTTTGCTTGTCAGAAGAAGAGCTTACGCCGATTGAAGCTGATTGCGAGCCGATAGTGGAGTTAGAAGAGGATTGGGAAAACGTAGGATGGTACAATGTTGCAGGAATGGCACTGGCTGGTTGTCCAAGCGCGAAAGACGTAGCAGGATCGCGTCGCAAAAGAGTGTAGACAAACAAGATGTTTGCAGCACGAGCGAGGAGGAAGAGGAGAGCACGGAAGAAGAAGAGGAAGACGAGGATCCTAAAGCCGGAGCGGAAAAACGCGCGCAGAGGGAGATCAAGCTTCTCATTTCGAAAATTAAGAATTTCAAGTGAGTACGATGACGAGGTTTCCGCGATTTATTCAACTCGCAATGAGTAACCGTATCGATAATACATTAAATAACACAGAAAATTATTGTATAACAAATTGTCTAAATAGGGACAAGGCTGTGAACGCCAGAAAAGAGAGGCA